GTTCAGAGAGGATACTGATGGCTACACAGGCCCCTTGATTCATGTGGAATTGGAAAAAGACACCAGCCCCAGATTTTTCAAGGCTTGTCTTTCGCCTCTTTCCCTACAGGGGCCCATGGAAGATAAACTTGGCTGTCTGCAACATCAAGGCATCCTCTCACCGATACAGCATTCCAACTGGGCGACACCACTGGTTCTCGTTCGGAAAAATGATGGAACATTGCGTGTGTGTGACTACAGGAGTACTGTTAACGCAGCTGCGAAGAAGGCCTCATACCCTCTTCCAACTACAACAGAGGTTTTCACGAACTTGCACGGCAGAACACTTTTCTCGATGTTGGATTTGTACCAAGCCTACCAGCAGCTAAAAGTCGACGACGAAACAGCAGTGCTCCTCACAGTGAACACAACCAAGGGACTGTTTTAAGTGAATCGCTTTCCGTTCGAAGTATCCGCCGCACCTGCCATCTTCCAACGAATGATGGAGGTAACACTGGCCGACATTCTGGGGGCGAATGTCTACCTTGATGATATCATTATCAGCGGTAAAGATGCTTGTGAGCACGAAGTTTGTCTGGAGTAAGTTTTAATGAGGTTAAGTGAGAGAGGCCTATGCTTGAGGAAGGACAGTGCCATTTTGGCATCGCGTCAGTTGAGTTCTTAGGACAGCGAATAGATGCTGACGAAGTGCAGGCCACCAAGAGCAAAATTTAGGCCATACTTCGTGCACCCAAACCAACTGACAAAACATATTTTTGAGCATTTCTTGGGCTAATCTCGTTCTACGATCGCTTCCTAAAGAACAGTGCACATGTTGCAGCAAAGCTGTAACTGTTAGAAAAAGAATGCGAACTGGAAGTGGGAAGCACAGCACGAAACCGCCTTTGAGGAGCTCAGACACATGATCCGCAGTCGCACAGTGCTTTGGCATTACAATGAAGCCAAATCCCTTCTCTTGTCTGTAGATGCATCACCGTACGGTGTCAGGGCAGTGCTGGCTCAGGAAGACGATCTTGGCCGAGAGGCACCCATAGCATTCGCTTCGCGTACATTGGGAAGCGCGGAAAAAAACTATTCTTATCTTGACAAAGAAGGTTTGGCCATTGTATACGGTGTGAGCCATTTCCAAAAGTACATCACTGGCTGGCAAGTAACCATAATAACAGACCATCAATCACTTATTGGTATCATGGGCGAAAAGAAACAAGTGCCGTCGGTACTATCGTCTAGAACGACTCACTCGTGTCTAAAGCTAGCCACCTATGATTACAAATTGGTGGACAGACCAGGCCAAAGGCATCAAAACGCTGACGCTCTCAGCAGACTTCCGCTAACAGTGCACGTTGATGAGCCTTATCTGCCTGGAGACGTGCTCATGTTGGTTTCCATGCCAAGCGCTGAACTAGCGCTAAGCCAGCTGGCTGAAATGACCCAACAAAACCCTGTATTGTCTCGTGTGAAAGAAGCGGCCAGAAGTGGTGAATCGTGCAAGCTAGCCAATGAGGAGTTTGTAGCATACAGGAAGTTCGAGGCCGAACTCTCCATTCAGGAGGGCTGCCTAATTAGGAGCCGCAGAGTGGTGATTACTCTCAAAGCAAGAAAGAGTGTATTGGGTCTGGCCCACGAGAACCACAGAGGAATTGTTGCAATGAAAGCCTGCGCTAGAACTTACTTTTGGTGGCCAGGTGTTGACAGTGACATTGAAGAAGTGGCAAAAAACTGTGTAACATGTCGTCAGCACCAAAAGGCACCAGGCAAAGCACCTATGCCTCAGCGGGAGCGTGCAACAACACCTTGGCACACCATTCATGCAGACTTTGCTGGCCCTGTGGAAGAGGGGATATTGCTAGTGGTGGTCGATGCGTACACCAAATGGCTGGAAGTGTGCTGCATTAGCAACATTCCAAGTGCCACATTGATCGAGGAAATGCGAAACCTTTTTGCAACGCTTGGGCTTCCCAAAAAGCTTGTGACGGACAATGGCCCGTCTTTTGTTTCCTCAGAATTTGAGGAGTTTTTAAAAAAGAACGGGGTAACGCATGTCACAAGCACCCCATACTATCCCTCCACTAACGGCCAAGCAGAGAGGATGATGTTCGAAACAAAACAGGCGTTAGTCAAGAACCAAGCAAGAACATTTGCATTCAGGCTGGTGCGGTTCCTGCTTAGGCAACACAGCACAGTGTCAACGGCAACAGGAAAAACACCAGCCACTCTAATGTTCGGGTGCAACATAGTCACTGCGCTCACACAACTCTAGCCCTAGCTGTCTGAGGAAACATCCTCGAACACCACGGTGTATAGCTCCCCGGGCGAAATATCTGTAGGGGCAAGCCATATTCATCCGAAATTTTGAACACAGCCCTGCATGAATGGAAGGAAAGACAATGGAGAGGCTTGGGTCCAGGTATTGAATGATTAAATGTGGAACGGGAATGTTTCGAAGGCACCTAGACCACATAAAACCCAATGTCGACCAAGCTCGGGCGGAAGACCGCATGCCAAGCGGGAACGGAAAGCAAGGCGAAACAACTTGGCAAGCCACTGTGCCGGCTCTGTACATGCTGGATCCAACAGCAGACTCCCCTGTGTCATCAAGCTTCAGCTTAACAAAAGAGCCAGGGCCACAAGAACCAGTGACTCAGCTGAACACGACAACGGCATCACGCCCGCAACGACATCGCCAACTCCCAGATTGCTATGGTGACTCCATCCAAGAGGGAAGGGATGTGACATTCTACAAGCCATGCATTGCCATTTTTGGCAAATGGCCGTACTGCCGCTCCTGGAGTTGCAATGACCGGCTTCCAGTCAATCCACCGGCCGGCTGGAGCGAAAGCAATATTGGATTATGGTTTCCCTTCAAGAGGGACGCAGCAGCGTGCGCATTCCGCAGACAGGCGCTGTTTTGCAAAAATAAAGCAGATTGTACCTAGCAGCTGAGTGGTGTGGTTCTTCCATCGGAACACCATGCAAACCCCACAACGTAACAACTCGGATACAGATGAATAGTGGAGCTTTGCACTTGAGGGTGTGGCATAAAGTTAGAGGCATCAAGAGAAGCGGCGTTGATAGTCATCGTTCGGATGTCACAGAGAAATAACACAGCAAAATATTCAAAATTTCAGATATTCGCACGCCCCTGATTTTCACAGAAGTTTGCTGGTTATGGCAACGCATGCCATTGTAGACTTGCTCATACCCATAAGCAGAACGTAATGAGTCTGAGTAGCTCACTCTGGCATTTGCACATTTGTGCAGGCGTCATCCCTATTCATCTGCATAACGTTTTGCAGGTAAATAACAGATAGGAAACATGGTGCCACTTCTGCTCTGAACGAAAAGCCGAGGCTAAGCAAATTTCGCTTGACACTGGAATACAAGCATGCGTGGAGGATCATGTGATATTGAAACAAGTTGAATTTCATATGGACACACTATCTGTTCATCACATCCCATTGGCCTCAAACAAAGACAAGTGAAGCATTTGAAAATGCAATGCCTAATTCACCATGGCCAAGGACAAAGTAGGGTTGCTTCACATGGAGGAAGACCAGGTGCAGTTGCACCACTGGATTGTGTGGGTAGAGGAGTGAAATTGGGCAAATACTATTGCTGTAGATTTATGTCACCGGCAAACTGGCTTGCGTTCCCGGTACTTGTATTCTACGCTAAATGCTTTCAAGCACGATGGGCTTCTTGATGTGCTGTGCAAGCACCTTTGTTGCCACAATAGCAAGTCCAATTCTTTTAACACTAAGTACCTCAATGAAAATTACATGAGAGGGAGAGACTACTCATTACAGTTAATGAATAGGGGTTAATAACTATTCAAAGTTCCATAACCGAAACCAATTAGTTAATGCTATTGCATTGTTGATATGCGATTTGAAAATTCTTGAAGTTGTCAAATACTTGTTTTAAAAATAAATTTCTAACTTGCTGAAATCTTGAGGGACAACAACGGATGCAAGGACTTCTAAACCATTCTGCTATGAAGGTGTTGTAGTTGTGTGCAGGAGCACCAGTTCTTGAGTGAACGCATGAGCACATCATTTGTGCTAGATGTATTTTTAGTTATTTAATAGCTTGCTTTAAGACAGTCTACATACATATTTGTAAGATATATTTTGCTTGTTTCACCATGTATTGCTTGAACACACTGTATGTGCTTTCATGCCATTGTTTTGTTGCCTTGTACAATTTGAGTTGCATCTCACTTAATCAGTTCTTTGATTACATGCATGTGAGATTGAACATGGCCTGATAGTGATCTAATTTTTATCAGATGTATAAGCACTTTAATATGCTTTCAAATGAGTAGGTTTTTTTTTATATTATGTCCCAAATGCCCTGAGTAAATTGTAAGCTAGCTAGCTCGTCCATTATTTTCTTGTAAGGGCTTTTAACTGAAATTCCAGTCATATGTTTGGTACCCCAGAGGTTTTAAAATTAGCAAACAGTAAAATTTTAATCTTGCCTCAGAAAAGAAAATAAAAAGTTCACTATGATGCAACTGGAATTGCTCAGTGTAGTGATGGCTATTACTTGCTTACTTCTGCTTAGAATGGATGGAACCTTGTGGCAGAATTTCATAGTGCTTAGGTTTTATGAGAGGTGCACTGTAACAGTGGTACCCAATAACTTGGGAGCCATCTATAATGAAACCTTCTACTACCAGTTAAATTGGCACTTGTGTAACCTAGGCATTTATTAAAAGTCCAAGGTACACTAATTGGATAAACTAACAAAATAGCTGCCACTTTGGCTCAATGTGCACATTATTTATGCAACCCAGAAATTATGCCAGCAGATGCAGAAATATGGATTAACATCTTGTTATCACAAGAGTTCTCATTGCCTGGTCTTTAACTATGCAAGCTGTGTTCAACCAAAATCAGTCCAGAATACTGTGGTAGAATATTGTATGCTCACAATACATTCTGTAAAGCAAAAAGAGAAAGATCAATTCGAGACTATACATTAAATGGTAGAAACAGTTGTATTTTGATACTCCTTTAATGACTTCACAAAAAAAAAGTCATCGGATGCTTGTGGTGAGACACACAAATGTTTAATAGCAGTAGAACAAGGTAAAAACAATATACACTTGCACACATAAAATAAAACTTAATTCCTAACACTTGCCTGCAGCATTACCTTAAAAAATAAATAAATGAACCTGGCACACCAGTGCTTTGGTTGCACACACAACACACGCTCACTGAGTCCTTCAGTCCTGGTTGTGGTCTGACTTCTGACTAGACGGGGGTCTTCCCGGGTAGCCTCACGAACTTGATAATTCCTAGACGATCATCCTTGTTGCAACAACTCTGTCCACTCCACCGTATACACTCGGCTGGCTGCAATGTGTTGCTGCTCTTCAGTGTCCCATTCTGCCCACCTTTACTCTCTGTGCCTTTGTGGAACTTGGAAGTGCCAATGCCTTTTGCTGCTGCAGCGACTGATGCGTGTGCTCCAGATGTTTTCGGCACTGTTTGTGTATTCTTTGGAGTGTCCTTGCTACTAAACAGAACGCCAGCGTTGCTTTCTGGAATGCAAGACTCCTTTGCTGTGCTGCCTGTTCCTGTCTTCGATAAAGGGTAGCAGGGCAGTGAAGTTTTGCGACGAGGTCCTTTGTGCTTTTTCGACTTGTTCACTTTTTTGGTCTGAAATGACAAAGTGCATTCTTGTTTACTATTAACATTTCATCAACATGTTATATGAATAACAACCAACTTGGTTTGAGGTGAAGTCATCCTATTTTTACTCAGGCTGGTAGACAGAATGCTCAATTTGCAAAACACTACTATTTAAAACATGCAGCTCATTTTCACTAGATGAACGAGAAGGTAAAATTAATCTCACATTTTAATTAACTAGGTAAGCTGCAAGCTTAGGTATCACATGCAGTACAATTTTTTTTCTTGTCATGTGTGCTGAATGATTGCCCTTCAGCGTTAATACGTACCATTAGCATATATTCAAACGTGAGCACGAAAACTTTGGAGATTTCTTTATGGATCACTAACAGCGATTTGTAATCACTGTGCAGACAGCTTTTAAACCTCGCTTACTTTAAGCTATGTGTCGGAGCCTGAATCAAGTCTGTGACACAGGTGAGACTGAAAACGAAAGAATGCTTTCTAACTGGTTTATTCTAGTTCATATTTTAATTTTTACTGAAAGACATACCGCAATGACATGATTGCTTTCCTCAGCTCTGCACGATTAAACCAAGTGTGTTTAGCTTGCTACAAATTCGACATCATGATTGATACAAAAGTTTACAAGACCAACAACTGGCCAGAATAGAATACGTGGTCAGATATTGGTTGAAATGGAAAGACCATGAATGTCAATGATAGATTGAAGAAGAATTATATTCTTAAAGCTTTTTTTTTTTGTTTGGAAAAACAATGTAATGCACAGCCTAGTAGAAAAGCCTTGATACTGTACTATAGAGTCATTCTGTTTTCCGTACGTAGTCTGATGCTTTTATGAGCACCACAATTGCTGAATATTAAAGAATATATATTATCCACCCCTGCTTTATTCTGGGCTGCTTACGAGTAAAAAGTTGACAGTGAAGCACAGCGCTGCCTTACCAGCAAATAGTAAAATACACTGAAACTCATACCATGAGCAGTGAGTCGCAGTGCGTTAATACCACTGTTGCGCTCACCTCTCACTGTTTGCAGCATGTGTTAGAATCACTGATGACTTTGAAGTCACCAGATATCGAAAATTTTTAATCATTTCTTTACATTGTTTTCCTAGTTATCATTTCATGATTAAATACTGACTGGCAAGCTTTCTGTTGCACTAAAAAAACAGGTACCATAAAAATTGGTTGTCGGTTCCTTTAAGAATGCATAGCTCACATCAACTAACATTGCAGTGACACCTCACATTTATTCACCATTTTGCTACTGGATAATGTGGCTGTCAATGCATTTGTATTGAATGTGGGTAAAAAAGCCCAATTGATGTGCAAGTGTGTGTGCTAGGAGCAGAACAGTATTGTTGCATGAAGTCCGAGCATGTTCAAGCTGTGTAACATTCATGACGCACAAAAGTAATGTGTTCACTATTTGAAGCTTCTGGATGCATTTCAGCCAACACTCAATATAGCAGTAACTTGCATGAATGGTTCTGAAATTTGTAGCAATGCAATGTAAACAAAATAATTAAAGTCCAATGGGTTATGAAAACTTGTCAGGAAAGGATGGTACATGGTCAAAATAAAACAAGCACAATGATGCTCCAGGGCAACTAATGGTGACCACAGTGACCCCCAATATGTTTCATTTTAACTTGAGGTGAGCATTCGGCCGTAATTCATGGTCTTTATTCCTATTTATAGGTTACCACGTAATTGTATAATGTCATGCTATGTATGTATGTATGTATGACATCAGTGCCAAATGATTCAACTTTGTGTTGCTATGCACGAGTTCACCAATTTGGAGCATAGTTGTTGGAAGTAAAAATCGCATCTACAATTCAAAAGGAGCCACTTATTTATATGTGACTCCTCATAAATTGCAAATGTACATCCACAATATCTGTTTCATGCATGCAATCTACTTAGACGAAAATTTTAATACTATAAAATTTGTGGCAACAATAGCAAAAATGTAGATACAGGAAGAAGCACCTTGTGTTAAGCAATAATTTTAGCTTCTGTTAGCTGATGAAAAACAGTCATAGAATATGTGCCAACACGTCCAGCTTCGAATTATATTGTTTATCTTTAATTGCTGGTTTTCAAAACCCCCTTGTAAAGGCTAGAGGGATTGGGGACTAGCCCTCATCTTCAGCAAAAATTTTGGATATGGGTGTGCAAAGAGCAGCAATGGAATCCACTCCATTAATGAATTTGGGCAGACACACCTACAGGTAGTGATACCAGACAAGACATTACATGGATAGCATTTAAATCAATCCATGTGGCAGAGAAGTGAAATATTGTCACTGGTAATGATATCGTTCATGAAGATCTTAAAGAATGGATATTATAAAAAATAACATTTCCTTGGCCCTTTGCACTACTGCTTTTAATCACAATCTTGTAGATCAGAAATTACAAGGCTTAACTGATTTGAATAATTAAAACATTTAATTGTCCACATACTAATTTCAGCTACTAACTTATTCCAGTGGACTCAAGATATCAATACCCTATACACAAATTTATGCTGTAGTGCACCACACTAAAGGCATCAAGCTGTTTGTGATTACATACTGATTAAATAACCTTTTTAAAAATACGTATTTGCTAGAAATGATGACTTCATATAAGCCATGACATTTTGCATAACATGCAGGAAGGTAGGATACACACAGATGGAAATGATACAAGCACTTTATTTAGTTGGTATGGTATCTAGATAGTGCAGCAAGACATGTACGCAAAAATAAATGAAGACTAGACAAGAAGTCGTCACTGAAGAATTCCTCACTGATGGAGCCTCGGAATTTTTTCTTGTTTATTTTAAGCGAAAATTCATGATCGTTCTACACCCAAAGACAGTTTGAATGATTTGCATGCCAGGTGAATGTTAGCTGTATCTTCAAATCAAGATGTACTTTGGCCACTAAGCATGGCCTGAATAATTGTGTAAATCTTTTCATGTGCTTCTAGCAGTGGCTTCCGTATAAGCTTTAACAATTATTCAAAGGAAGCGTCTAGAGTACTTAATGAGCTAAATTCGCGTGTTTCCATCATATGACAACAGAAAGAAATGTATCTCTCCAACTGTTAATTCACAATTGCTGCCTCAAAGTTTTTTTTTATCATACTGTGCAACAATGCCCCAGTTACTGTACCAATCCAGGAAGTAGCAAGGAGAAACACAAGGAAAGCCACTTGTAATAAGCTTGCTTCGAGCAACATAAAGAGTATTATGCAGTGCAAATAACAGCTTTACAAGAAATATATGCGTTTTTATACAGTAAAGCAACTTTTTCTGCCTAAATAAGCTCTCCAAGGAGGAGAGTATTTCTGCCACACTACCATAATCTTTAGAGCTGTGCAAACAGCAAAATTACAGGTGCGAAGCGGATTCAAATATTTTAAGTGCTAATGCAAATACAATTTTATCAAATGTTGCTAGAATATTTTTCAAATTCTTCAAAGCAAAATTGCAGAAAAAAAAGTTTAAAAGAATTTCTAAGCATATTCTTATGAAATAGCAACGTGAAAGTGTTTCTTTTGACTACGTTGATGAAGGGCTGGCAGGGCAGTGTTTGATAGTTGTCTTATCAAGAATGAAGCAATGCAGAGGCCAAATTGTATTTATGCAGATGACTTGGTGCCTCAAAGTGTTGCTGACTACACTTCACAAGTGAAAAGCAAAGACGTTGTTTCCTCAGCCTCTCCTCCTTTTAAACTTTTGCGGGAGTCCAACTGAACTGGGGGTCAACGGTGTGCTCCCTTTGAGCCTGGAGTTTCAAATCTGCCTCATAGACATCAATATACAAGCATATCTGAAATTTCGAATGCTAAAAATATTTGGTGTCCATCTTCAGCGTCCAATTTTTCTGACTTCCTACCCAAATTTGAGATTCAAAGCAGCATTAATTGAGCCCCCAACCCTGACACAGCTATCGTCTTCATGTTTTAACCAGCATTTTTTTTTTAAATTAATGGATTGGCAACCGTAGCAAAGCCTAGAAGGAAGTTTTGCCACAATACTAGTAGAGTGTGATAGGGTAAAGCATATTAAAAATTCCAAAAGGCCACTGCCAATCGGACGTTGATTTTGTCTTCGGAAAGTTCCGAATAGTGAAATTCTGGTGCGAAGTGAATTTGATAACAAATACTATAAAAAAATTATTTGAACTTTCAAATAATCACATGCTCCTAATCATCTACCTCACCTACTCTCCCTGTGTAATTGCTGCCGTCCAGGCACTGCTCAATCATGAAAGGTGCTTCTTGATGGGAAAGTGCTTGAAGTAATATAATAAAAACAAACAAAACAGGTGACAATTAAAGTTGCATGGCAGAAATACTCTCCCAAATCTATTGAACACCCTTACCCATACAACCTGTACTATGTGTGTCCATTATTACACTATTCTGTCAGAGAAACAACACCCTCGGTTCATAAAAAATTTTTTATTAGTATCACAGTCTTTCAAGCAGCAAGAATACTAAATGTGGCAGTTGTAACAGGAATCTTGACTAAAATTTGAGACAATGCGCATCTGTTAGATGTATGTGTGTTTCTGGGTTCTCTTACGTATAGAACTTTCGTTTTTTGCGCCTATGTTTCTTTGCCTGAAAAGAGCGTCAGGAAAGCAGAGGGCAGGTGAGGGTCAAGCATTTACAGAAAGCGAGACATAGGAACTGCAGCATTTACCTTTTCCATTGGAGCTGTAGGGGCTTCCACAACTATAGGCACTGTAGGCTCCACAATGACAACGCTGCTCTCTATCAAAACCAACAAATAATACAAAATTAATACAAAAGTCCCATGCCATTAGATTGGCTGACCTGCTGTAGTCCCTTAGTGTAAACTGTAACAAACAAATCCTCCATTACTAAGGTCGGAGTATGTGCTCAATTAAACAACAATGTCAGTATCAGAATACGATGAATAACAAGTATTGATTATAAAGCTGCTTATACTAGGTATATCACACATTTTTATTAGGCAAGAGGGCTTCAATAAATTCAACCTTGACAAAACCTTTACATCAAATTTATCCCAAGTTATTGATGTTCAAATTAGTTTATAAAAATTGCATTAATAGTTGAGCTTTGTTTTTTTCAAAAAGCCAAATCAACATTAAGTGCAATTGCAAAAATAAAAAGCAGATGTTTGCAACAGACCATGTGGTCCAACTTGCTCAGACAAATATATCAGAATTGTTTGATTATTCCATTATCGGAAGCCAAAAAATGCAGATGCTCAGGGCCATGAACTGAACGCCACAAGATGGCTTGACAAGGCCTACAGTCCCTGCTACTATGCTCAATATCATATCTACCAGTGGTTTCTGTTCGTTGCGATTCGTTGGATGTCTTTGCGGTTTGTTGTCTGCCTTTGCTCAACAATGCCACACCCACAGTGGTCTGTGGTCGCGCACTGCTGAACAAGTTCTTTTGTGATTAATTCATGCACATATTTTCTTAATACATTATCACATTACATTGTCTAACTACCAATGTGTATTATGCACATTTTCAAACTACATTATCTGTAAAAAAAATGTAAGTAAACTTCTTATACCTTAGCTTCGAATAGTCTTTTGCTTTCTCACCAGAATGAAGAATGAATGGAAAGTGGGCAAAAGTTCTAGACCACAAAGGATTAATCTCACCAAAGTACCTTAAACTAACATTACTGTTAAAATGTAGATGAGCTATTATAGCTCCTATATGGCAGTCAATGTTGGATTTCACACTTATAAATATGTAACACCAATAAGTGGCTCATACCGACTTTTTATTCAGGCCAGCCAAAGCTACTTGATTTTTCTTTTGTTCATGCACTTGGCAAGTTGTTTCTTTGCAGGAGTTGTTGCTCTTATCCAATGTACAGAGCTTGACAATCAGCCTGCATGGCAGCTAGTGCTTCTTTTTGTGCCATTCATGAGCACTAGCAAGCAGAGCTGGCTCATATGGTATCTAATGAAATGGGAGCCTTGGTTCCACATAACTACAGCATCAGAGCTCTAGAGAAATGACCAGCGTTCACTGGTGGCACAAAAAGAGCAACGGATGCCATGAGGACCAACTATTTAAGCCTCCGTTGCAAAGTGCTGTTGAAGGTTTTCGCTCTCAATGCTGTATTCAAGAAGCTCTAACTACTTAATGATATTTTCTCTTGTGCTGTGTGTGATCTTTTTTTCTTTGTTCAGTGAATTGTCAGTTGCTGTGATTCCAAGAGGCAGCCACCCCATCAATCAAGTATACAGTTAACTAAACAAATGGTTAATTATTGTGTGGAGAAAAACTCAGGCCAGTAATTTCAAATAAGGAATGGTTGGACTGTACATTCACAGAAAAAGCATTAACAGCCGTAAAAAAGAACTTTAGGATGGTATGGTAACACTCAAACAATGGGTAGTTAGGCCAACATGCCATCAACCTTTTGTTGAGACATAACAATGAGAGAATAGCCTTGAAAGTTGAGGTAATTAGAAAACTCCGACCAAGAAATGTATTCAGAAACCCGACATTTAAAAGCTAGACCGGCTTCTTCCTAAGGTGTGGGATAACCAGAGATGTGCAGAGCTTATATAAGCTTGCTCGCCTTGCGTGACAGGTTTGCCATGACCAGTCGCCAACTCAGAGAGGGCAATGTCCCTGTGGAGCGGTTGATGTTCCCCGTTGTCTCTTGAATGCGCCAAAATTTGAGGAGGGGTCGCCGGCTGGTGTTTCTTTCTTTTTCCAGAATCACTGCGTCGTCCTAGTGGATGTGGTGGTCAAACCTCTCCTCTCGCAGGGTTCTGCTACTGCGCTCCGTTGGCTGTTCTATTGACGGAGGTCGTTCTTGTGCTGTCGCATACTTTCATGGAAGTTCTTTGTTCCCCAATATAGGAAGCGGGGCAGTCTGTGCACTAGATCCGGTATAAAATGCCCAGAGATTTTTTTCGCAGGCGTGTCATTCTCGGGGTGAGAGATAAAGCTGCCAATAGTGGTGGATGGCTTGTGTGAGATGTTGACTCCTGCCTTTTTCAGTATACAGGCTATTGTTTCGCTGGTGCCAGTGACGTATGGAATCGACATGCGTTGTCATTGCGGCGATGCAGGAGCCATGTTTTCACTCTTGCGGAGGGCTCTGCATAAAAGCATCATGTGTCTGTCCAATAAACTCAATTGAAAGTTTGTGCTTGTGTTTGTCTGTGTTTGTACTTGTGTCCTTCATCCCAAGTGTTTGTCTTTTAAGCAGCGTGCAATAAGGTGACAATAAATCTGCTATCGAACGTTTTTGTGTAGCCATTGGCGCTGTGGTCAATGATGATTCTATCCCTTTCCTCCTTCCGTCACTGTGGTTACAAGCTAATTCTTTCAGCCCTTCTAAAAAGGCTTCGCACCACAGAATGTTTGTGGCATGTGGGGTGCTTCAAGCTGAAATGGAGGTAGCGTCCTATGTGGGTGGATTTCCTGAAAACTGAAAAGGACACGTTCTGTTGTTGTCTTCCCACTAGCAGTACATCAAAAAAGGAGAGAGCCAAACGGTTCTCTCTTTCCAATGTGAACTGTATGTCAGGCTCTACAGAGTTCAGGCATGCGAGCAAGGTGTCAACCTCACCAGACTTCACCACACAGACTCAATCATCCATGTAGCACACAAATATCTTGGGTTTGGGGTCCGCTTTTCAATGTCCTGCATCACAAGTGCTGCCACTGTGGCCGATATTGCCGCCCCCATGGTGGCCCCCTTGATCAGCTTGAAGAACACGTTAAAAGAGAAATAAGTGCTAGGGAGGCAGAATTCTAACAGCCGGCATATCTCATCAACCGAAAGCGGTGTCCTGTCATTCAGGGTGGAGTTGCCATCGAGTGCCCGGCGCGTCACAGAAAGTGCGAGAAGAACGGGTACACTGGAGAAAAGAGAAACGACATTGAAATTGAAGGACACCATGCAGTCGGTTTCATCCATACTAACGTTGCATGCGATTTCCACGAAATGTCTAGAGTGCAGGATGTAGGTTTTTCTCTTGCCAGTCAGAGGAACTATTGTCCTGTGAAGAAAAGTTGACAAGGTTTGTAGGGGGGAACATGAAAAATCGACAATAGGACGAAGTGGAATTCCTGTTTGTGAACTTTTGCGAGGCCATAGAAGCTTGGAGCGGAGCCACTTCTGCATGTAAACTTTAGGTAAAGGACTTTGGATTCAGGATACTGCTTGAAGATTCTGGATAGAAGTTTGTTAAACCAAGCTTGGATTTGTGGAGTTGGATCCTTCTTGATCTTGGGGTATGCCTCCCAACCCAGGAGCTTTTCTCCTTCTCGTAATCTGCACGATCCATGATGACCATGCCGTTTCCTTTGTCAGCTGGGAGGATCACGATGTCCCTGTCATTCTTCAAATCTTTGAAAGCCGTATTTTCGTCGTTAGAAAGGTTGTTGCCTTGGCAAGCCGGTATGTTCGAAAGAATTCTTCTTATCTTGAGCCTTGTCTCCCGAAGGGCGCCGATTTCAAGGTGTTGTATCCCGCCCTCAACTTCTGCAACTATTTTTGAAATAGGAGGAGTGGTTGAGATGTTGAAACCATGTTACTTGGCTAGTATGGCTAATTCTGGAGTTGTGAGATTACAGGATGAGAGGTTCATCACAAAGGTGCTTGGGTTATCCTCGGCGCTTTCTGCAGGTAAATTATGCAGCAGAGCTTCTTTTCTTGGGTTACCTTGTGTTTCCTGATCTTGGTGGCAGCTTGCTTCATTTTGAAATCTTCCAGTGATGGCGATGCTGGGGATGTGATGCTCTAGCTGGCGTCGGGCAAAGAAAAGGTCCAGCTCATTTTTCTTCATGGTGGCACTGCACTCACGTATGCGTGCGACAAGAAGGCGTTTTCAGTTCAGACAGCGGGGAAGATCAACCGCTCCGCAGGGACGTTGCCCTCCCTCTACTGCCAGGGTTTGCGACGGGTGATGGCGAACCTCTCACAAGAGGTGAGCAAGCTTACATAAGCACCAGACATCTCTGGCTATCTCAGCCCTGAGAAGGAAGCCGGTTTGGCTTTGAAACGTCGGGTTTCTGAATACAATTTTTGGTTGGAGCTTTCCAATTGCCTTATTCCTACCCCAACTCGGCATAATTCTGCCAAATGTCTGCCTTTGGCACTTGAAAGTTGTAAAAAAAACAGTATAGCCATGGTTTTGCTTCAAGTTGGCCCTCACGAAGTCGTATGAGCTCATGAGTTATGGCTTTAACGCATAGGTTATGCGTCTTTTATATGTAGGTTATCCTGTTGAAGCAGCGGCCACTGTCACTGAACATTTAAAGAAGTCCGTTACGTTAAGTCTGAGCATGGTTGCAGAAAGCCATAGGAAGACACGTGTCATAGGTATACTATACGTTCATTGCGTATTTCACAGGCTTAAGAAAGTAGGAAGCAGATATGGCATTAATATTGTTTTTACAGCTGCCAATAAATTAGGCAAGATTTGTACCACTGTGTAGAGAAAGAATGAGCGAGAAAGAATCACTAAAAAGCGGACCAATATATATTTCATAAAACACACTAACAAATTCACTGATTACTGTACAAGTGTATATATAAGGTCCCTTTCAGCTTTGGTCGCATCTACGTAGGACAGAGGGGCTGCTTCATTAACCAGAAATTATTGGACTATAAGAGATGGCTAACCGGAGGCTCATCTTTTAATCTTTCTTTCCATTGTCGAGAGTGCAAAAATCACGTCGAAAATTTGATGAATGCACAGTTTTGTACTGGCATAGGAATGAAAACACGTCTCTGATGATTGGGGCATGGCATATCGATAATAATGGTAGCGCATTCGTGAGCTAACCATTGATTAACTTGCATAAAAATGAAATAAAATGCTTTAACAGTTGTCTTTTATGTGGACCACATGCCTGATTCATAGGTGCGCATATTGCATGGGCATGCACAGATAAGTTTTTGTACTTTTTTTTTTTTTTCGTCGCTACATGCTTCTTCAGCTTTTAGTAGGCATTTGTGGTGTCCACACTTCCTTGTTGCGTCTGTGTTTGCAAGCCCTGTCTCTTTTAGAATTTATACGTAGCAAATAACTCGGCTCTCTGTTATTCCAAGTATCACTTCATACATTCATCTCTTTACATATCCAAAACGTAGCCTTTATCTAAGATTTTTCATATCATATCCATGACAAGTTCTGCCTACACAAGATTTCAAAAAAGAAACTGCACACAGAAATACTGCAGCATGAATGCTGGCACTTAAGCTTTGGAACAACATAGTACCAAATGTTGTTTCATGACAATGGCATACATAAGCCTACATCCTAGGCTACGTGAGGTGTCAACACATATTGCTAATGCTCCCTATGAAAACAATGGAATAAACTTGTAGGAACAGAAAACTGAATCTGTATAATATAACTGTAAAACATGATAGTACTTCGCATTTACAAATAATGCTGTGCCAATTTATATTCTGTCTGTCATGATCAATTAAGTCAAGAAATGCAACTTGTGTCACTTAAGGTTAGCTGGTACATTGTTGTCTCTCAGATAGTTTGATGGACAAAGATTGTTGACTGGCACAACAGACTCATCACTAAAAGATCAGCATGACAAGCCCTTACCCTGAAAAATGAGCAGCTCCTAATGAGCAGCCATTTAAAAGAAGAAGTGAGCACAATTAGAGAAAGCCACGTGATGGGAGCACATTCCTTGCATGTGTGTTAGCGAATGAAGCCCATGTAGTATCAGTACACCGTCGGCACAAGCAAAATTAACAGAGCCTCTGCCCAGCCAAGACATCGACCACACAAAAATCAAGAACAGCTACTCTGTCAATCTTCAGTATGATGTGGCTTCTTTGCCAGCAGGCTTCAAAGAGAAAGGAAGTGAAGAAGGTCGTACAGAGGATTGCAGCTGTGGAAGTGTCAACAGTCATGGTAATAGGTAGGAAACACTTTTTTCCACAGGCATCATGCGTGTGGCTAACTAGCACCCCTAAAGTTAAAGAAACATTCCATATCCGATGCCATGGCCATGAGAGGTGCAGGCCAACATTTAGATGGCTGTGATCCAATGCACACACATTACTATCCAAGAAAGTGGACAGGAGGATGGCCACTGTGGTAGTTTAATGGGCAAAGCACATCACACACAGTGAAGAAGATGATTTGCTTCCTATGCACCTGCAGCAAGTTGCCTCTTTGCCTAGTTCAATTTCTCTTTTCCTTATTGCTTCTATACTCAAAGAAACATAGTGGTTAACCTCTCCTAAGCTTGCTTTGGCTTCGTTGCACATTTTATTCATATGGATGAATAATGTTTTTGAAGTCCTTCACTGACACATTACTTTATACAGTCGTGGCTTCCTTGATTGATGTGTGGGGTTTAACGTTCCAAAACCACCATATGATTATGAGGGAAGCTGTAGTGGAGGGCTCCGGAAATTTCGACCACCTGGGGTTCTTTAACGTGCACCCAAATCTGAGCACACGAGCCTACATTTCCGCCTCCATCGAAAATGCAGCCGCCACAGCCAGAATTCGAACCCGCGACCTGCGGGTCAGCAGCCAAGTACCTTAGCTACTAGACCACCGCGGCGGGACCGTCGTGGCTTCCTTAACGTCCTAAGTGATGCTACAACCTTTGATGGTACAACCTTTGGAAGTCACTTTCATATTGAAGAACGTATTGAAAGCAGCATGAATACAGTTTACAAAACAGGGCGTGTGGCTGATCACAATATCAGGCATGCACAGAAACTCTGTCACTAAGACAGCCTTGAGGCCCAACATGTTACAAGTGGGAAAGAATTACCTTCCTTCCTATAAGCAGTGCTTGGCTTTTTTTCCCTTTTATTTAATTTGATGGAATCTTTATTAATGATCAGCTGGTTTCTGTCATGGCTAGTTCACGCCCAGGCAGTGATTTGGCATTAAAAATATTGCTAGAACTCGCAATGCAGTCTTCAAAGCACCTGATTAATGATCTCAGTTTCTTGAATCAAAACCACTATTTTTCTTGTTTTTCATTGTAGACTAGAAGGTCAGGCAGGACAATAAGCACACAACTATAGGGCGGCTCACTATATCTGTGACCAATGTTGACACACTTCTGCAAGATTTAATGCAGTTTTGATAAGTGTGTAGCCCTACACAGCTGACAATTTCTCCTACTTGTGCAAAACATCATTGTTTTTTAATGTAACCCATCTGATAAACAGCATGTGAGGTGCCTTCAGTTAAAGATCTGCAGAACTGTACCAGCCTAAGAGTTGTAGCCTGATAATGTTTTCATCAAATTTTGTGTTTTTAAACATTATACCTCATTTAACAATTTTTTTTTATCAAATTTGCTCTTGACGGTTAGTATACATTATGAAAAATCAGCCACACTTTGTACATAAAGGAATAAAACTTTTTTGAAATTGATAGTACTGCTCCTCTGAGATTCCTTTAGAAGCTAGTTTTTCCACTACTCAAGCTAACAGAACATCACTGAGCTGTAGTGGAATTGTAGTGCACTGTGAAAGAAAGTTGTGGGCTGGGTACGCACCTTATGTTGGTTTGACAAGAGTGACACTATTGCTTGCATCAACATATCATGAAATGCACAAAAAAAAAGCCCTTCTCTATTCCACAATGCACCACAATCATTGGAGATCATAGATGAAAGTGTCACTGAAAGTGATCATTCAAAAACACAGCCCTTACACATGCACTAGGCAAATGTTCTATTCTGAAGTAATGTCACAAAATGACACCCACTTGAGTGCAAGTCTTCATTACTAGGCTTCTGCTTTTTCTCTGCCACAGTGGCAAGTTCCTCAATGCGCTCCTCATGGCCAACAGATGCTGTGCGCCGTTTCAGTACTAAGCGGGCAGGGGTCGAGGGCCGGGCTGCACCCTCCTGCTGTGCCGTTATGACTGAAGAGGCACGCATGCGGCGCAGGCACAATGAGAACACCGTAGCCAGGATGATAGCCTCGATCAGGATAAGGCAAAGATGGCTCTCGAAAATCTGGGAAAATGTGCAAGCGATTAAAATAAAAAATGCTGTTGCAACTTCTGACAAAGAAAAAGTTGTGGCATGCGGCTCGATGCCTCGAGACACGTTCTGCTTTGCCTGTTTGTTTTTCGTCATTTCTTAAAAAACACTTGATCTTTTTTTAATGCTACACAGCAATAGAAGATTTTCAAGCAAGCAGGCAAGCAAGCAAGCTTCTTTCTAGTACTTGCCAGCACTAAGAAAAAATCTAAATGTGCGCAGTTACATATGCTACTCTGATAGTAGATTTTGCAGTAGACTTTGATATTTCAAAACTCAGCAGTGCATTTCAAATATCACAACTTTTAGTTAACAGAAGTTCTTGCCAATATGACTCAGCACAACATAACAAAAGTTGTGATATTTATTGTTTATTAGTGCAGCAGCAACATCATATACAGCTCTGCACGACTGCCAGTAAAGTTCCTAGACATCAGCAATCATACTAGTACTCATTATTATATAACAGATGCACACGTGCGTAAGAAAGAAATGCACTGTATCTTGTGACAGTTTGTCATTCTTAGGACACCTTTCCGCGTGACGCCAATGTAGTACGGTGAAAGTAACCATAAGATTCGTTCAGGACGCAATAGACCAAGACTAGACTTCCAGTTGTTTTTGTTCCGTTTTTTTTTTCCCAGGATCAGCATGCACTTATCAGTGCAAATAGTTTGATTGATTGATTGATTTGTGGGGTTTAACGTCCCAAAACCACCATTTGATTATGAGAGACGCCGAAGTGGAGGGCTCCGGAAATTTTGACCACCTGGGGTTCTTTAACGTGCACCCAAATCTGAGTACACGGGCCTACAACATTTCCGCCTCCATCGGAAATGCAGCCGCCGCAGCCGGGAATCGAACCCGCGACCTGCGGGTCAGCAGCCGAGTGCCTTAGCCACTAGACCACCGCGGCGGGACGTGCAAATAGTTTGGCTCGCAAGGTCGTTATGTCGGCAGGCAATTGTCTTTATTTGCAACTGTTAGTGACATAAAAATGCCAATGTTCAGCTATAAGCAACGAAGGCAGCAGATATTTCCAGGCATGGACAAGCAAAAAAAATCTGATCAAATTTGTGCGATGGGGCAGTACGAATTAGGCGGTTTTAAAAAACATTGAAAGCATAGAAGGCAAACAAAAAAATTTAGGCTCTCTTAGAACAAACCGAATGTTTGAATTTTTGAGAGTCTCCTGTACTTGGATAAATTACCTGCTGTCTCAGAGAGACAACTACAGCTTGCGCTTGGTAATTTAAAGAGCACAGACAATCGTGTACCTGCTTGCTCAGAGTCTGGCGCTCTGCAAGCAGAGTGTTCACTACTTGGGTCAGATTGTCCAGCTGCTGCTGAAGCTGCACCAAGGTCTCCTGTTGACGAAGATCCTGTAAAACAACATGCAAAAAAAGTTAGGAAAGAAAATGTACCCACCGTTTGTTTTTATGCATTGTGAGCTTCATTCATCATGATGGCTAATGACACTAATTCATGAATTATGAATGCCTCATAATGTGAAATGTGCTGCACGCCCTGCTGCGCCCGCATGTGACTCTATACCGAGCCCTGTTACGTTTGGCACATAAAAAAGCGCTTGCATTCCTTGATCCCCTAAGGTCGAACAGTACGAAAAGTGCACTGGATGCAGCAAGTGTGGAAGAATTGCATGCCAAACAATGACAGTGCACATCTAGTTCACAAAAAGGGTGTTTGAGTACAGTGACGGTAAAAGCAAGTAAAAATATCATGCAGAACTATCAGTGGTGAGTGTACACATGCATTTGTCTTGGTGCAAAATCCAGCGGCTTTCTTTGGACGAATTTGGCTTGTTTTGGACAAAAAGGGCACACATACATTATTTTTTGTGCTTCGAAACCTCCACACAGAACTCTGCACTGAAAGATTTAGCTTTGCTAGTAAATTCATGATGCACACTATCATTAAAAAAAGCATGAATTTAGTTTTCCTTTACTCCTGCCTTTTTTTTTTCCTTTCTTCTTTACCCCTTTTCATTTCTTTATTTTTGGCTTCAGCATTTTAGCTGATGTCATACTCATAAACTTCAGACAAGGCAGCAAGGGTGCTGACCTTTTATGACTAGTGGCCTAGAATGGAGCTGACTCAGTGCAACAGTCAAACTAAACTATATCAAACTAGATTAAGTTGAATTATTTTTCACATTGAACTATTTTCAATTGTGACAATGTTTAATTTAATCTTAATGTATACATGGGTGGAAAAGGGTACACGGGTTTTGAAGCAGTCCTGGGAGCAGGCAAAAGTGCCTTTTGTAGCAGGCTTGGAGCAGCCATAAAAGCCTTTTCGAGCAAGTTTGCAGCAGTCAAAAAAATGTTTAGAGCAGATGTCGCCATGTTTCACAGCATATGTGAAGGAACAGTTGTCCAATACATCATTTTTTTTAAAACAGCAAGCTGTATCGTTCACATTGGCCTTATTATTGCAAAAACAACATAGACACTCTCGACAGGCTTTTGGTGTTGCCGTCACCATCATGTCTCATATTAAAGGAGCCCTGAAACACCTTTTCAAGTAACCATAGAATGAATTTACTGGAAGAGCTTATTTCCTCATGAATTCAACGGTGCAAAAGTTTTAAGAATCAGTCTTGTACGGGCAGAGTTCAAAGATTTGTCGCACACTGCTGCCAACGCATTCTCTCTTCTTTCGTCCGGACGAAAGCGCTGAAAGGTAAGCAGGGAGGGATTGCAAGGTCACAGAAAAACGTCACGCGCGCCTCGTGCCCTTGAGCACTTTTTATTTTTTTCCCCTTCGAATGAGCAGCTTTTTCAGTGTGATTGCGCGGGCACGCGTGCACAAGTGGCAGCCTCCCGTGGCGATTTCTGTAACGAGCAAGCGTGTCATGTTCAAATCAGCCAATGGCTGATAGATAGGCTTGCTACATGTGATTTTTGAGTATATTGCGCGATTTGTCGAGAGAAGAGAAAGCATTTTTTAGCTGACTTTGATAATTTATTGTGGATTCCAGGCCGCCTGCTACACTATAATTTTTGGCTCGCGTGTTGTTGGGAGCCTCTACTACCGACCGGCAGCGTTTTCTGACCATGCTCAAAAAATGTTGCAGGGCCCCTTCAAATCCAAATGCCCCCGCCCATCATATGTTCTACCTGCGGGTAAATACATGTAAGGGGGGGGGGGAGCAACTAACGCAGTTGAAGCAGATATATAACGAGTCCGCCAATCTCTCTTGCTAGGAGGGCACATGCAATAATCAGGTCACTCAGGATCGCTCAGGAGACTCATTGTCGAAGCAGATAGTAAACACCCTACCCGTCCTAATGAGCACGAAAAGACACGCGGGGGAGGGAGGCATTGCTTGAGCAGTAACTGTGAACCTTACTATTGGCCTCGAGATCTTGGAGTGACACCCTCTCGCGTGTGACGTCAGTTTGTCGACTCCGCTCTCGACCGAGCCACCGCAGCCGCTGCTCCTGTGCGAGGATCATCTGCTTTGAGTAGGAACCTTGTCGAACGAATCGCCTCACGAGGGTAAACTAATGCCCACAACAAATATTTTTGAATGCAATTATGAATTTGTGTTAGTTGCAGCCCAATCAACAGGGCCAAAAAATGTCCCAGATGTCCAATAAGCACGCTGATGCTGCCGACTGCCTTGCTGTTCAGAAAATGAAACTATGTGTGAGTGTTCTCGCTCATCATTTGCAGTTTCCATCGCGCGATACTAATCAGCTCGAGTGTTTCGAAATTTCAAGAAGCATGCCTTTCTCCTGCTTCTATAGATAAACAACACGGTGTCTAATCGATGGGACGGTTGTGTACGACGAAGGCCACGTTGTTGAATGTGTGCAGCCGACGCTGTCAATGAAGATCGCATCACTGTCGCTGCTATGGTCCTGAAAACATGTGGACTTGCGAACCCGCCACACAACGTCCCCGTGGTAATCGAGTGCTGCGCAATGATGAAGTACTGTTCTGCGCCTCAGTGTGCTTCGTCCGCTCGTGAAAAGGACGTTAGCTTTCACAACAATTCTAAATAGAAGGGCACACCTGCCCATTTGCTTAGAATTTTTTTTGAGCAGTCCAGCAATATATATAGTGACAGTGAGCATGAGGATATGTGTGAGAATCGCAGATTTCTGCCACTCTGACATTCGCAAACAACGCATGAGATATTTAGTTCAGAGCAGCTGTTTAAATTGCTGTTTCGCCAGTCAATCGACCGTTCATGGCATCTACTAGAAATGCAAAGCAGCATCAAAGTACCAAATTTGAGATAATTGTCCTTGGATTGCAGTTATGGGCATTGGCAAGGCGCAAGCCCGTGTTGTGTCGCAGTAAGAAAAGTCTTGAGGGGTAGGTGCTAGTGTGACTCGGGAAGGGGGCACGTTCTGCCTAATGCACCCCCCTGGCCGGCGCAAATGACTGAAGTTTGTCTCAGTCACGTTTGTTCAATGACAGCGACATCATGAAGTAGTTCACATTAATACCGCACAGAGCCGTCGCTCGGGTATCAGAATGTACCAAGCTATCACTGATTGTATATACCACGCACAGCGCCACAAAGATTATGTGACAACTTTTAGTGAATGTGCACTAAGCAGCGACAGCAGGTTTCGCTTATAAACTTATGGTAAGCAGTGCGCTAGGCACGTGCTTGTCTTGATCAGTAAACTACGTATATATGTTCGTACACCAACCAAATGAAGCTGTAGTCTCAGATGTCCTGCACCACTTGGCTGCGCTCGCGAGGCGCGCTTACCCGAGGCGATTCAGAGGCAGCGTCTTTGGCTCCCTGTCTAGGAACCTTCGCGGTAGGTTTTGGGACGGCACCTAACCTGGCGTAAGTTGCCTATGCATATAGCCTGCGTGCAATGAATGGCTGAAGTACTGGCGAGGCACTGAAACACGGTTGAAAGCTTACCCAAAACTGGAGCGCAGGGCGGCTATAGCAAAAGTCACTGTCAGCGAAGTGCTTTCTGCACACGGTCGATGAAAACATGGGGTGCATTCTCTATACAAGTTTGACTATCCACTTCTTCCTCAGCTTCGGGTTCTTAAGATAGTTGCCAAAGCTAACGCCCTTTTCATGCATGCCCCGCCGCGGTGGTCTAGTGGCTAAGGTACTCGGCTGCTGACCCGCAGGTCGCGGGTTCGATTCCCGGCTGCGGCGGCTGCATTTCCGATGGAGGAGGAAATGTTGTAGGCCCGTGTGCTCAGATTTGGGCGCACGTTAAAGAACCCCAGGTGGTCGAAATTTCCGGAGCCCTCCACTACGGCGTCTCTCATAATCATATGGTGGTTTTGGGACGTTAAACCCCACAAATCAATCAAATCAACCTTTTCATGCATGGGCGATCATACAGAGGGACAGAGCAGTACTCACTCTACCATCGCGCAGCACTCGACAAGTGGCCGCAGTTTAAGAATGACGTCATATGAGTGCGGTTCGCAGCGCCGCCATCGGTCGCACACCAGGCCAATAAAGGCACTGGCACACATGCTAGCTCGGCAGCCATCAATGGGCTGCTCGCATATACTTTAAACTTCGACGCCCCGCGCTCTAATTGCAGAAAGACTGTGCCAAAAGTGTTGCTCTCTCTTGCAAAGCCATATCCTCCAACACCAGTATTTCGCAGAGTTTCGTAAGACCACAATAAAAAGAGTTAGCTGTCATTCACTTCATATAACATAACTTGTTGCTATAACATCCATTTCTTACCCGCTTGCAATGCAACTGTGACTTCTTTATCTATGTACAGCCAGCCATTTCTTTCACCTGAACGCAAGAGTGTCAGCTACCCAGTTGATAAGCGCGGCGTAACGGAACACAGAGGTGCAATCAATGAGAATACGCACATGTGCTCGTAGCCTCGATGAGTAGTCCTGTGCACCTTTCTTTACTAGGCTATTCCAGGAACTGAACACCACATTATTTTTTTAGCACTGTTACCATCATTCTTTGTTTCTTTTCTGAACACTGCCACGCTTTATTAAAAGAACAAAAACAGTTTCATGGCAAGAGTGAAGCAATAAATGCGATAGAAAAAGTTATGTTATGCAAAGTAATGCTGGCAGCTAACTCTATTGGTTGCGATATTGGGTAAGCCTACAAAAAGCTAGTGTAAAAGAATACTGCCCCGCTATGGAGAGATGCTGTTTTAGCACAGTCTCTTCGCATTGAGAGAACAGAATGTAGAATGTTTAACGAGCTATACAGGCTGATGCCTGCCGAGATAGCGCACGCACCAGCAATCACGACTGAACCTTTACAAAAGTTCATAGCTGCTGCTCAAGCAATCACTGCCTTGATGAAACCGAAACAACAACTATTTCGATAAAACTTAAAACACAATGTTTCAGCACTTTTTCAGGCACTGGGCTTGATGGC